ATTTAACAAGCAAAGTATTAAAGAGTGAACAAGATAACAAATACAAAACATGTTAGTATCAAACATTAAAGTCCATATTAAGTTTACACTATACTTATTCTTACACCGTTAGTGTAACCTTTTCACCTTGACATAATAAACTTAGCTATACATAATGAAAGAAAGAAAAATAAATAAACAAAATAAGAACATAAATAAGATAAAAGTTAACTAAGTAAATGAAAGGAAATGAAAGGCATAAACTTGATATTAATGAAAGCAAAGCATAAACATTACAAAAAAATACAAAGAGAGAAAGCAAGAGCATGATCTTGATCTAGAAACCAATATGCCTAAATGCATGGCAAATGCCTCCTTTTATAGGCCAAAATTGGGAACTATTAATTTGATGACTAATTGATGAGTGGGTGACCAACTCTTGACTCGGTGACAATCCTTATCTTTTCTTGTCTGCCCAAAACATCATTGATAATGTCAAAATTAGAGCCACTTGAAAACATGAAAGTTGTGGAAAATTATCTCAGCTTTCTTGTGTAAAGAATTCAGCTCATTTGGACTTCTAGAACTCCATATATGGGCCAAAAACTGAACAGTGCTTGGGTTGGAAGATAGATTCAGACTTCTTTGTTGTTGCTACAATTTGGACTTGAAAATAGTCTTTTTAGATCTTAGGCTCTATATGAAAGTTGTAGGCCTATGTCTTACCTTTCCATCCATATAAAGTAGACCAAAATCTGAGATCTACAGCTCCAAATATGACCCAATTGCCAAATAGTGTTCCGGTTTGGATTGCACCACCGACATCTCTTTTCTAAGTTCGGTCATCTCTTTGTCCTTTCAATTTTAGTTCTTAAATTCATCAATCAATCCTTTCATTTATGTGATAGGTCTGTATTTAAAATGAACATTTACCACAAATTAAAGGTATCTTATATTATTATAAAATATGTTTTAGTTAAAGAGTTATTGATACTTCAAGTGCAAAATGATTATATAAAACCTTGATAAAAATACACTTTTAAGTACTAATCACCTAAAACTTTTATATGGAACCCAAGATCTAAAAAGGTCATTTTCAAGTCCAAATTGTAGCAACAACAAAGAAGTATGAATATGTCTTCCAGGTCGAGCATTGTTTAGTGTTTGGCCTATATCTGGAGTTCTAGAAGTCAAAATGACCTGAATTGTTTACACAAGAAAGATGAGACAATTTCCTACAACTTTCATGTTTTTAAGTGGCTCCAATTTTGATGTTATCAATGACGTTTTGGGCAGACAAGAGAAGATGTTATCAATGATGTTTTGGGCAGACAAGAGAAGATAAGGATTGTCACCAAGTCAAGAGTTGGTCACCCACTCATCAATTAGTCATCAAATCAATAGTTTCTAATTTTAGCCTATAAAAGGAGGCATTTGCAATGCATTTAGACATCTTGGTTTCCAAATCAAAATCATGCTCTTGCTTTCTCTCTTTTTATTTTTTGTAATGTTTATGTTTTGCTTTCATTAATATCAAGTTTATGCCTTTCATTTCCTTTCCTTTACTTAGTTAACTCTTATCTTATTTATGTTTTTATTTTATTTATTTATTTTTCTTTCTTTCATTATATTTAGCTAAGTTTATTATGTCAAGGTGAAAAGGTTACACTAATGGTGTAAGAATAAGTATAATGTAATCTTAATATGGACTTTAATGTTTGATACTAACATGTTTTGTATTTGTTATCTTGTTCACTCTTTAATACTTTGCTTATTAAATGACTAATCTTGATTTATGTTGTATAACACCTGGTATAACAAATGCTTGGCACTTTCATAGCCCATATTGTATGGTATAACTGACACCTGAGCTATGAAAGGAACTTGATTTGTTGTTAACATAAGTTATAATCATGAATGCTTGACGAGATTTACAAGTATTAGTATTAATCAAATAAAATGACTAATGTAATCATCTTAACAATCTATAATCAGATTAGAACCTCCTTTATGTGTGGTTTCTAATTGAATAATAAGAGTTTATATTATACTTGTTTGACATACCATTAGTGGAACCTCTAACCTTGACATTTGTTATTATCATTGTTTAATCCTTACATTAATATTTCATCTCAAAGTTCTCATCATCTTCTTCTTCTTCTCCTTCTTTTTCTTTATTATTATTATTATTATTATTATTACTACTACTACTATTATTATTATTGTTGTTATTACTTTTATTATTGTTGTTGTTATTGTTACTATTGTTGTTGTTTATAATTGTTGTCTATAATTTGTAGAATTAACCTCTATATCATTCGACCTTGGTCTTACCGGGTTATTTATTACTTCGACACTCCTGCACTTGGGAGAGGACATCAATCTTTTAGTCGTGTCAAGTAGTAGTAATAATAGTAGTAGTAGTAGTAGTAGTAATAGTAGAAGAAGAAAAACAAGTTAATGAGAACTTTGAGATGAAAAATTAACGCAAGGATTAAACAATGATAATAACAAATGTCAAGGTTAGAGGATCCACTAATGGTATGTCAAACAAGTATAGTATAAACTTTTATTATTCAATTGGAAACCATACACAAAAGAGGTTCCAATCAAATTACAAATTGTTAACATGATTACATTAGTTATCTTATTCAATTAATGCTAATATTTATAAATCTCGTCAAGCATTCATGATTATAACTTATGTTAACAACAAATCAAGTTTCTTTCATAGCTCAGGTGTCGGTTATACCATACAGTATGGGCTATGAAAGTGTCAAGCATTTGATATACCAAGTGTTATACAACATAAATCTATATTAGTCATTTAACAAGCAAAGTATTAAAGAATGAACAAGATAACAAATACAAAACATGTTAGTATCAAACATTAAAGTCCATATTAAGTTTACACTATACTTATTCTTACACCATTAGTGTAACCTTTTCACCTTGACATAATAAACTTAACTAAACATAATGAAAGAAACATAAATAAATAAACAAAATAAGAACATAAATAAGATAAAAGTTAACTAATTAAATGAAAGGAAATGAAAGGTATAAACTTGATATTAATGAAAACAAAGCATAAACATTACAAAAAATACAAAGAGAGAAAGCAAGAGCATGATCTTGATCTGGAAACCAAGATGCCTAAATGTATGGGAAATGCCTCCTTTTATAGGCCAAAATTCAAAACTATTAATTTGATGACTAATTGACGAGTGGGTGACCAATTCTTGACTTGGTGACAATCCTTATCTGCTCTTGTCTGCCCAAAACATCATGAATAACGTCAAAATTAGAACTACTTGAATGAAAGTTGTAAGAAATTATCTCAACTTTCTTGTGTAAAAAATTGAGGTCATTTGGACTTCTAGAACTCCAGATATGAGTCAAATACTGAATAGTGCTCGGGCTGGAGGACATATTTGGACTTCTTTGTTATTGCTACAATTTGAATTTAAAAATAGCCTTTTTAAGTCTTGGGATCCTATGAAAGTTGTAGGCCTATGTCTTACCTTTCCATCCATATAAAGTAGACCTAAATCTGAGATCTACAACTCCAGATATGACCTAATTACCGAATAGTATTCTGGTTTAGACTGCACCGGCCTCTTTTTTAAGTTTGGCCATCTCTTTGTCCTTTCAATTTCAGTTCTTAAATTCATCAATCAATCCTTTCATTTATGTGATAGGCCTGCATTTAAAATGAACATTTACCACAAATTAAAGGTATCTTATATTATTAGATATGTTATTATAAAACATGCTTTAGTTAAGGAGTTATTGATACTTCAAGTGCAAAATGATGATATAAAACCTTGATAAAAATGCACTTTTAAGTATTAATCAATCATGTTAAAAATATCTTCTTGAATGGAGATCTTCAAGAAAAAGTTTATATGGCACCCCATCATGGTATTTCACATAACTCTAGATATGTTTGTAAGCTTAAGAAAGTATTATATGGTCTCAAACAAGCACCTCATGGTTAATTTGAGAAATTCTCTATTATGATCTCGTCTCTTGGCTTTGTTTCTAATAATCATGATTCTGCTTTTTTTATTAAGTGCATTAATGCAGGTCGTATTATTTTATCTTTATATGTCGATGACATGATTGTTACTAGTGATAACATTGATGATATTTCAGTTTTGAAGACAGAGTTATCTTTTATATTTTCTAGGTATTAAGGTAACATACTCACCTAAAGATTACCTTCTTTCTCAGTCAAAATATATTGCAAATATTCTTGAGCGGGCTAGACTTACTGATAACAAGACTATAGATACTCTTATTGAGGTTAACACAAGTTACTCTTTTTTTGATGATTTAATTTTGATAGATCCTACTTTATACCGTACTATTGTTGAGAGCTTAGTATATCTCACCATTACTCGTTCAGATATTGTATATGTTGTTCATGTTGTTAGTCAGTTTGTTGCTTCTCCTACTACTGTTCACTTGATAGTTGTTCTTCATGTTTTGCGATATCTTTGGGGCATAGTTTTTTAGAGTCTTTTACTTTCATTTATCTCTTCCTTTGAGTTGCGTGCATGTTCTGATGCTAATCATGGTAGTGAACCCACAAATTACAAGTTTGTTACCGGTTTTTGTATCAGTTTAGGTGATTCTTTTATTTCCTAAAAGAGTAAGAAACAATTTATTATTTCTTAATAATCCACCGAAGCAGAATATCGTGTCATGGCATCTACTACCAAAGAGATTGTTTAGTTACGTTAATTACTTGCTGATACAGAAGTTTCATTTTCTAATCCTACTCTTATATATTATGACAATCAGAGTTCTAAATTGTTTACAACCCGGTTTTTCATGAGTGAACTAAGCATATTGAGATTAATTATTATCTTACTCGTCATCATCTCAAACATGACATTATTACTTTACCTTTTGTTTCTTTTTCTTTGTAAATTTTTTTATCAAGATATATTTTATTTTTTATTTTTATTTTCTAATTGACAAATTCTAACCTCATGTTTGATCATAATTATAATCTATTTATGTGTTGGTGTGTATTAAAGTAATTACCACTACCATTTTATTTTCTAGTCGCGTTGATGTCAAACCTTGACCTGTATATATTAAGTCACGAAACTAGAATTTCTGTTAGGATGCAATCTTTCCAGCTAAATTTGAAAAAAAAAATGAGGGAAAAAAAATACCTTCACACATGTGGACATATATCAGCCGTATAGATCATGCATGGAAATTATCAATATTGCTTCGAATTTTATTTACCACAATAAAATAAAAGGGGTGTACAAAAACACACTTAAGTTCCTATCTCTGTTTTATCCCTTGTCAATCTCCGACCCCAACCCAACTACATGCTTCACAAATGCAGTCAAGTTCTTGTCCGAACTCCCATCCTCTTTAATAGCATCAAGTACTGCCATACGTAGCTCTTTAGCTCTCTCCTTTTCAACTCGGCTCTGATCACTCACTGATTCCATCAGCGTTCGTGCCAAATTAGCCGATTTAGACACTACATTTGCGCCATCACATACCCTTTTAGCCACCTTCAACTCTTCAGCCAATAAAGTAGCACCCACAAATTGGTCAGCCCCCATGGGACATGCTAACATTGGCACACCCGCAACTATCCCTTCAAGGATCGAGTTCCACCCACAATGAGTCAAGAAAGCCCCCACAGCCCGGTGACTTAGTATCCAAACTTGCGGGGCCCATCCTCTTATGATAAGCCCCCTTCCAGCCACACGATCTTCAAACCCTGATGGGATCATGCTATATCCTTCTCCCACGTGTTCTTTACTGGGCTGCTTCACACACCATATAAAATGGACTCCACTCTTCTCCAATCCGGATGCTACCGCCTCCATTTGATCTTTCGTCAGAAGAACTTGACTCCCATAGCAGACATAAACAACCTTATGATCTTCACACGTGTCAAGCCACGTCTTTAAATCATGCATCGAAACAGTACTGGTCCCACCTCTCTCAGGTGGGGTCATATCTATCGTTTTTTTAGGGAGTATCGGTCCAACAGCCCACACACGATCATGGCCCAATTGCTTTCTTAAATGCTCGAAATAAATCCCTTCTAGCAAAGTGAACGAGTTAACGATGAGTCCCCAGCTCGCGATGTTAGCTTGCATCCCTTCTTTGGTGAATTCCGAAACTGGATCTCCCTCCATGTAGCTACGATAAATCGTCGAGATCTGCCACCATGGGTATTTTGGACAACGTGGAATCTTGGAAAACGAAAACAATTCGTTTTGGTCTTTTGGGGCGCTGGGCATTTCTTGCCAAAGTGAATACATTGTGGCTAATGCCATGGCTCCTGAGGGAGAGAACACGAAACGGCGAACGCCGAGCTGACAAGCTAGGCGGTGGGTCCACCCTAAGAAAATATCAGAGATTATTTCTACAGGTGGAGATGGGTGGGATCTAAACCAACTGAGCAAAGGCTGGTAGAGTTCACCAAGGGCATGTATCATGGATGTTAGACGAATATTTGGAGGCAAGTCCTTGAGATTTTCGATGCCAAAAGGGATTGAGGGGTAATTAGGGAAAGGAAGGACTAGGGTATTGATTGTTGAATTTTTGGAGAGGAGAGGGTTCAAGATAGGTAGGTTTTTTGGGGTCACCAAGATGGTAATGGTTATGCCACGGATAACTAGATGATGGGCTAGGTCTAGGAGAGGGATCAGGTGGCCTTGAGCTGGAAAAGGAAAGACCAAGACATGTGCTCCAGCACTCATGGCGAATTGATTTTTTGGAGCTTGGGAAGACAAGTAATTCTTTAAAACTGAGAAATCTAATGAAACGAAGAGGCCTAGTATATGCTACTGGTTCATAGTTGAGGATAACGTATGGATGAGAACTAAGGAGAAAGTTTTGGGAGGCTGTGCACAGACACTTGAAGAGAGAGGAAGGAAGCTTTATATATATATATATATATGAGATTTTAGTTTGAAACTTGAAATATTATTATATATTTTAAAAGGACTTGAAAAAAATATATGTATATATTATTGACATGATTTTTTCACCATGGATTATACGATAAATATAGTATTTGTATTATAAATAATATTATAATGGTATAAAAGCATTATTTTTTTTGTTTTTTAGTTAAAAAATAATGTTGAGGTGTTGTTTTTTTATTTATTTTTTATATTAAAAGTTATTTGATTTATTTTAATAGTCAAACTCAATCCTATTAGATTATTAGGTATACCTTGAAAGTCATATCAAATTGCTTCTAGAAGATGTTTAGTCTCTCTAAAAGTAGTTGTAAAACTAATAAATTTTAAGTTAGATTATTAATTTTAGATTTGTCAATCAATCAAACTTAATGTTATTAATTATAATTGAACCATCATATATTTTTAATTTTATTTTATTAACTCTTTAAATTTTTTGTTTTATTTTTTTATATATAGCAAAGAGGAAATAAGTTGATAGAAATTTTTTATGTTGCATAAAAATAGGGTGATGATATTTTTTTTCATTTGAGGTTTGCTTCAATTTTTTTATTAAAACATGTTTATTTTTGCAATGTAAAAATATTTAAAATAAAATATATTTTTTTTAATTTTTAATTGAAATTAATATTTTTTAATGTTTGCATATTATTTGGATATGATGATATAAAAAATTAATATTAAAAAATAAAAAATATTATCTCAATATATTAAAACAAATTAACAAACACTCATTATGTAATAATATACTAACTAGCATATTCACTCGCGCTCCATAGTAAGTTAATAATAATTTTTTTAAAATATAAAAATATTTGTGTTGGGTTAAAAGCACGGAATATATTTGAACCATTATTATCTTTAAATAAAGTGTTTTTTATAGTAGCACCATGAATAGCACGTAGCAATGTAACATTTAATACACTGACAACTAATTTCTTTCATTTTAATTTATTTTTTGTAAGATATTTTTAATTTTATTTTTCTCTTTTTATTTTTTTCTTTTTTCTTATTGAATTTTTTCTTTCATAGTGTAAAGAAAAAATAAATTGATGTGATTTTTTTTTTATTGTATAAAAATTGGGTGATGATAATTGTTTTTCATTTCAGGTTGAGTTGAATTCCCTGATTAAAGCATATTTGTTTTTGTGTATCACAAATTCTTTTAAAAAAAATTAATTTTTTTTTATTTTTTTCTTTACTTTAAATTAATATTTTTTTAATATTTTTGTATTATTTGATATGATGATATAAAAAAATAAATTTTAAAAAATAAAAAATATTATCTCAATATAACCCAACATTATTCGGTTTTGCTGGGCCACTAGATATTTTTAATTTTATTTTTTATCTTTTTATATTTTTTTTCTTTTTGATTTTTTTTCATACGCTGAAAAGAAAATAAATTGATGAATTTTTTTATATTGTATAAAAATTGAGTGATGATAATTTTTTTTAATTTGAGATTGGGTTGAATTTTTGTATTAAAGCATATTTATTTTTATCTCAATATAACCCAACATTATTCGGTTTGTTGGGCCACCAGATATTTTTAATTTTATTTTTTATCTTTTTATATTTTTTTTCCTTATTGATTTTTTTTCATGCGCTGAAAAGAAAATAAATTGATGAATGTTTTTATATTGTATAAAAATTGAGTGATGATAATTTTTTTAATTTGAGATTGGGTTGAATTTTCGTATTAAAGCATATTTATTTTTGCCTTGGTTGAATTTTTGTATTAAAACATATTTATTTTTTCTTTTCCAAAATGTTTTAAAAATATTTTATTTTTTTATTTACTTTAAATTAATATTATTTTATATTTTATTATTATTATTTTAAAACAAATATGTAGGTTATGGTTGCACTGCAAAGTCCAAGATGATAGGGTCTGGCTCTACGGCCACACATAAGGAAAAGGGTGTGGCTCTGTAGCTAGAACCAAGGATTAGAAGTGGTTATGAGTCTAACTAGATAGTCTTTTTTTTTTTAAGATATTTTTAATTTTATTTTTTTCTTTTCAAAATTTTTTTCTCTTATTTAATGTTTTTCATGCGGTAAAGAAGAAATAAATTGATAGTTTTTTTTTTATATTATACAAAAATTAAGTAATGATAATTTTTTTTCATTTAAGCTTAGATTGAATTTTCTTATCAAAATATATTTATTTTTCTTGAGAATTTGATATTGACCACACAATTTTTACTAGTTGTCAATCTCGTACTTTCTTTTTTAATTGTGTCCCTATGCAACAAATCCAAATTATATTTATTTAAATTAGCTTATAATCAAGTTTTGAAGTGCATAAAAAATTTAGATTCTAAAAAATATTGAAAAAGTCACCATTAACTCACAAAACACTATAAGAATAAAAATAAATAAATAAAAACTATTAAAATCCATACTAAGATGTGAAATAGTCCATATTATCATGTAAAACTACCACATGATTTATTTTTCTTTGTAATTTATATAATTATTGGACTCTAAAGGCATGGTTTTCATGTTGATAAGATTTAGTTTTTTTATAAAAATAAAAAATAAAATTGTAAGTTATCTAGCAAACTATTTTCTCACTTGGTTGAACTTTACTAGAAAGTTTCACGATGCTTAGTTGTAACTATTAGATATTTATAGTATACAAGTAAAATAGATAAGTGGATTATTTTGGCAATTAGCTAATGAATTTCCAAACTTTTTCTTTTTCTCAAAACACACAGACTTCTCATTTGTAATGAGAGGAATAGGGCTCGCTCGTATGGTCAAAATCCAAAAAATGGCAACTATATATATATATAGAATTAGTAATTTTGGAAAAATATATATTTGTTGATAGACTTCACTCTAGAAAATACTATTATGACTTCAAAAGGTCAAGATAATAAGGTGAATTTTGTGCCGTGAATGATTCAAAAATCGGCAACAATGAATCTGACGAAAATGGATGAAGGATGGGTCTGGTTGTATTGTCTTTCTTCTGGTGTTTAGGCTAGATTATAGTATTTTTAAGGTAAATAAAAATGGAGGATAAACTAGAGTGATACTTTGATAAGTCGATCTGGACGCCACAAAGATCAATCTAGGATTTTGACGCCACACTCTTTGTGATTGAAGAGTGATAAGTCAGGTAGGGTTCTTCACAAATCAATTTGGAAGAATAACTCTTAATTCTCGGAATTAAGTTCAAATATTGGCCAAAAGTTGTTTATTACATATTCTGATGCCATATTTATAATGGAACATCCCTCCACACTTAGGAAAATTCAACATGACAGAAATCAAGCCCAAAACTTGGACTTTGACAAAGTAACCAGACAAATTACACTAGCACACATTTTCTGACTTTAATTGAAACATAAACAGACCGAATTTAAAATGGCTATAACTTCTTGCACAAAAGTCCAATGCAATCATGGTTGGACAATCTGGAAAGATCACGTTCTGAACTTGAAATCCACCTAGATTAGTCTTGTTTTCACATGCAATGGATGACTTCAAATTCGGGTTCAAATTTATCTACTGTTCTGACGTAAACAGCATCAATTTCTTAACTTATTTGCATTATCAACCCAAATTCAAGTAGTCCAGCATCAAAAGAACCATTAAGGGCTCTTCCCATCTTTAAGCTCCAATTGTAGGCAAATAAGCACCCTTGAACCAATTTGAAACTGATTGCCAAATTTTAACTCCGACGCAGCTTCAATCATTCCAATCTGACTCGTCAAGGTCCTTTGTAGTTGTTTCGCTCTCGCTCTTGTCATTGGACCATCTGAATCCTCTTGCATATTTGATTTACCTTTACGAGATGGATTATCATTCCCATGATGCACATCATCAGCCCCGGGTTGATAATGATTTGTCCTCAAATCATAATCGTCGTCATCATCCAAGTATGGAGTCAAGTCTTTCACATTAAAAGTAGCTGATACATTGTAATCACCAGGAAGATCTACCTTATACGCATTATCATTCACCTTCTCTATAATCCGAAATGGACCATCAGCTCTTGGCATCAACTTGGACTTGCGTTTGCTTGGAAATCTGCCCTTACTAAGATGAATCCAAACAAGATCACCAGGTTCAAACCTAACCATTTTCCGCCCCTTGTTAGCTTGTTTAGCATACTTTGTTGTTTTCTCCTCAATATGTAATCGAATAATTTATTTTTCAGGAATTTATTTTTCATGAAAACTACTTTAAAAAAAATAATTTGCAACAAATAAATAATTCCCCAGCAAAGATCCAAAATTCAAGTACCCAATTCTACTGGACAATACTTTCCATCATTCAAGATAGGGGAGGAAGTTAGATGGACTATGAGGATCATAATTCAGGCAAAAAAGAAGAAGGATACTACATGTTTGTTCAACACATGATTAGTTAACATTGCAAAGCAGATAGGAACAAGAAACTAATTGGTAAGCATAACTTAAAATATTTCATTAAATATTCAATCAATTTTAGGCCACAGAAAGGAATGAATAGAGGCCAGCCAAACAATCGGGGTGGTCATGTAGGAGTTTTTAAACAGAGGAGGAAGACGAGGGATAGAATAGCTGAGACTGAGATGCCTTTTATCAGCCTTGCTCCTATATTGAGGAATGCTTGAGTTGCAAGATCAAGGAGACGTTAACTAGAAGAAAAGAAGAAAGCTTTGGGGTTGATTCTTTCCTATAGTTCAATTTCCCCTACCACGGTCTGCCTATCTTGTATCCAGGGGTGCAGTTAGGGGGGTTTGGCGGGACTGCGAGGAAAATTATTTTTCATCCCCTCTTCTTCAATAAATTGAACTTTTAGCCTTAAAAACACAAAATTTTAAATTTTTCCCCTCCTAAATTGTTCTCTCTAATTCTCCTAAACTAGAATTTCTACCTCTGCACTTACTTCTATCTTTATACCTTACCATTTACGCTGATAGGGTACGATGACCCAAGCCTAGCCAAGATTG